TGTGTGTGTGAGAGAGAGAGAGAGAGAGAGAGAGGGAGAGAGAGAGAGAGAGAGAGAGAGAGAGAGAGAGAGAGAGAGAGAGAGAGAGAGAGATGAAAATAAATTCTGAATAGAGGGGGGGTGTCTTCTTGTTGTGTACAGGGTCATGAATCTCAGAGCAAATTGTTGCCCCGCTTGCCAGTAACTGATCGTGGAGTCGTCGCAATTGCTGAACATTGCCCTTTTCTGAGGGTTCTCAGCCTGGCAGGCTGCAGGAATGTCACTGCTAGCTCAGCAAGGTCAGCTCTCTCTCTCCTGTCTCTTATACACATCTAGATGTGTATAAGAGACAGGTGTGTGTGTGTGTGAGAGAGAGAGAGAGAGAGAGAGAGAGAGACCCAACCCTCATCCCAGGAGGGGCTCTCGTATCCTCTGGCCCTGCTCTCATCTGGTGAAAGCCTGGATCTTCGCCCTCTGATGCAAATGTCTTGAGATGCAGTGGGGAAGGGGTCGTTACGAAGGTTCGAGAGCTGAGCTCAGAAAATAAAGTAGGATGGGTGAAATTCAGACTACTATCTTATCACGAAGCGGAAAGTCAAACCCCTCGTCAGAGTGTAATCAATGCTGATCCAGCTGTGTTAAGCTTGTTATTTTGGACTTGTAAAAGGAGACGCTGGGCCTGCTGTCTTGCAGGTGATGCTCCCCAAAGGTTGATCTGACCCTAATAAGCGGGCACGGAGTACCCGTTTACAAATCCAAAATATGGAAGGCTCTGATTTATGGGTCAGCTTTCCAGCGCTTGACATCAACGGAAATTCGATGCGAAAGCGACATTGCTTATGGAGGATGGTTGTATCACCTCCTTAAGCAACATTGAGAAAAAACAAGAAAAAGAAAAGATGCAATAGCTGGTGTTTAATATAAAAGGGCATTGCGGGAAAGTTGGGGAAACACGTGCTCTTGTGACCTCTACGATGTGCTTAATTGTCTTACCAGACACTTCCGTCAGTGGGGTGCCCGGGAACCCCCTCAGGGTACATGGAACTTGCGCTGATTTATTTCTTTACTTTCCTGACGAGGTAAATGTGACCACTGACAAGTGGCCATTAGGAGCGGGAACAAACGGTAAAGACTAAAGGTGAAGTTAACTGTTGGAAAAGGTCATTCGTAAAATAAATGTGAATGATTGGACTTCTGTGTCTCCTTCCGTTCCTTCCTCTTCTGTCTCTCTCTCTCTCTCTCTCTCTCTCTCTCTCTCTCTCTCTCTCTCTCTCTCTCTCTCTCTCTCTCTCTCT